TGCCCACAAAATTTAACTCATCCACGACCCATCTACTTCCCACTAAAGCTGATCGAGGTCTCAAAATCTACGACTATCTCAAACTCCAAACAGCACCTGGTCTGCACTACTGCCCAGTAATCCTAAACCATGGGGACAGAATCCACTACCCTGACAGCCAGAAACTGACAAGATTCCCAAGTACCCACTCCGTCTATGTCCCATTTGTCCCTCAGATGACACCACTAGGGACTACGCTATGACTCGGAGTAAGGGCTGTGAGCTCAGTTCCAACCTTCTCACATTTCACAAGTATTTCCCGTACCTATTTCTCAGTAAATTTCATCCACCTCTCTGAGAGGCACACCGCGATCACGTTTTTTGTGTCTCCACAGCTACCGCAGTGCTGACTGCATGATTTAATCCTCTGGGCTACTGGCACTACCTTCCTTATTTCAAGCAAGTGGTCTAAACTATGTGTATAAAACCAATACATGTCTTCAAACTCTCCAGTTAGAAACGAATTATCATTGTATTACAAAAAATCCAAGCAGTCCTCAGAACACAGTCCCGTGTGAGATGACACGACACAGGGGGGCAGTGAGAACCGTGCAGTCACAACACAGGCAAAGGAGGAGAAGGGCTGTGATGCACATGTATGTGGGATAAAGTAAAAGACAGAAAATCTGGAGATGGTTGCAAAATTGTACAAGAAGGATTTTCCTTTCTACATCCAGACACTCAGCTGTGCAGCCTGGCAACAGATGTCCCCTCTGCACATGCAGAACCGATGCCGCTTCGGCACTCTGGACACTTCAGTCTCTTACCTACATCTGTAACTCACTCCAGTAAGAAAATTCTCCTCCATAATATAAAGTATCTATTTCACATAGGCACTGTCCTATGTGCTTGTTACCTTTACATAAATGTCTAAACAACTGCATGATTTATGAAGCCTCCCAGTTTCCACCTGAAACAGTCAGCCCAGTAAAATCAGTACATTTTATGACGCCACTTAAAATAGAAATGATAATAGGAAGATGCTTGCCTTACGTAACTTCATTCTCTAACTGAAAATGGACAAAATGTATTAGTTAGATAAAACGTAACTAAATACATCACCACTTACACCTTCAAAGTAATTTCTAAGCATGATTAGATTAATGTGAACTATTAGCTTAATGTATGATTAGTATATTGCATACCACATAAATGAACACGAACATTTTATGCATTCATTTCACCCATAAATAGAGCATGTGCAAAAAATCATGGCATAAAAATTACATAAATAGTAATTTAGAATCTAAAATGTATGGCTTCTAATTATACTTCGATAGAATCTTTATTGTAACTATCACAATATCCCAAGGATTACAAAAGGCAGAAAATACAAAATAGTGACTAAGACAAAAATATTCCCCAAATTATAGAAATTTTAAGGCTTCAGGAAAAAGGGATTATTAGAGAAATAATTCCGCTCTGCCATTCAATAAAATATTATTTCCATATGTTAACCGCAGTCTTAGATACGATCATATAGTGAAAGACTGATTACAGGATAACAACTCCTTCATGACGCATCAGTGTTAAACTTTAAAAAATCATTTAGTTATATTGACTAAAACAAATTATGTTCAAACATAGCTTTTAAAAAGCATCTGAAAATACATTATATTGTACCCTTGTTAAAATACAGTGGCAGAACTTCAAAAGCATTAATTTCTGCTGATGCAATAATCTTAGACTTATGATTTCTTTCTTCAAAAAGAGTGAGGCTAACTATTTAGTGAATGTTGGATAGAAATACCTTTGCAACATGCAAGACAGAAGTAATCATCGCTTTTCACTGACATCTGTGGAAAGGTATATATATTTCTATCACATTAAATAATATGCAACACTTGTACTCTGTCTTCCATCACACCAAATAACACTCAAAACTTCTACTTCGTTCTACAACGAAGATGTTTCAGTATTTTGATCAATTGGGAAGTTTTTCCCACTTAAGGAGCAAGTGAGAAAATGATTTATTTAGAAAATTCAGATTGATCCTCTCAGTTAATTCAGAAGAACAAGGTTCAGAACACATACCCTACGCTAACATGCATGAATGCTTTATAAGTCAAACACAAACTGCATTGTTCTTTAGATTTTCTTCATGTGTTTTACATCTGTAATTACACATCCATAGAAATATTGATATTAATGATATCCACATAATGTAGAATGGTGTCCAATGGTTCCACTGCAGGAAAAAAGACCACATAGTATCATATGAACACTAGAAATTAAGGAATAGCATCAACTGAATGGAGAGTTGAATTATGTCAATAATAACTGCTTTTCAAATAACTCAAATACTGTCAATATTGCCAAAGTATGGAATCACTATACATCCCCAAACATCAATTGTTTTGCCTCTTTGAAGCACGTGAATAAATTATATAATTGCTTTGAATTTGGATTAGTCTCCCTAATCAATATTTTGTTTTGGTATACGATTTGAGTGCTCATGGTTCAGTCTTTCTCAAATCCCAATACTAGTAGATTTACCCTTTCATTAAACGCTTTCATTTACTTCATCTGGAAAGTTTCTTTCCGTATGATATTTCTGGTGATTTCTAAGTTGTATATTTTGAATAAAATTACTTCCATATTTGTCACATCTGTAGACTCTTTCTACTGTGAATTCTCTGATGTTGAGTAAGGTATGACCTACAGGTAAAAGTTTTGCCACATTCCTCACATTTGTAGGGTTTCTCTCCAGTATGCATTCTCTTATGTTTAGTAAGGTTTGAGTACTGGTTAAAGGCTTTGCCACATTCTTCACATTTGTAGGGCTTCTCTCCAGTATGAACTCTCTGATGTACAATAAGACTTGAGGAATAAGTAAAAGATTTGCTACATGCATTACATTTGTAAAATTTTTCTCCAGTATGAATTTTCTGATGCCGAGTAAGATGTGCACTAGAGTTAAAAGCTTTGCCACATTCCTTACATTTGTAGGGTTTCTCTCCAGTATGAATTCTCTGATGCACAATAAGACTTGAGGAATGAGTAAAAGATTTGCTACACGTATTACATTTGTAAACCTTTTCTCCAGTGTGCATTCTCTGGTGCTGAGTAAGAAGTGAACTGTAGTTAAAGGATTTGTCACATTCTTTACACTTGTACGGTCTCTCTCCAGTATGAATTGCCTGATGCAAAATAAGATACGAAGAACGAGTGAAGGACTTAGTACATATTGTACATTTGTAAAGTTTTTCTCCAGTATGAATTCTCTGGTGCTGAGTAACTTCAGAACTAGTTTTAAAGCCTTTACCACATTCTTTACATTTGTAGGGTTTCTCTCCAGTGTGAGTTCTTTTATGTATAGTAAGGCGAGAGCACTGATTAAAGGCTTTGCCACATTCATCACATTTGTATGGTTTCTCCCCAGTATGAATTCTGTGATGTCGCCTAAGGGTTGAAGAGCAGACAAAAGACAGGCCACATTTTTCACATTTGTATGGTTTATCTCCAGAATGAATACTCTGATGCACAATAAGATGTGAGGAATGAGTAAAGGATTTGGTACATGTTTTACATTTGTAAAATTTTTCTCCAGTATGAATTCTCTGGTGCTCAGTAAGGTGTGAACTACAGTAAAAAGCTTTGCCACATTCTTTACATTTGTAGGGTTTCTCCCCAGTATGAATTCTTTGATGCACAATGAGACTTGAAGAATAAGTAAATGATTTGCTACACGTATTACATTTGTAAAATTTTTCTCCAGTATGAATTCTCTGGTGCACGATAAGACTTGAGGAGTGACTAAATGATTTGCTACATGTATTACATTTATACAATTTTTCTCCAGTATGAATTCTCTGGTGCACAATAAGAGTTGAGGAGTGAGTAAAAGATTTGTTACACGTCTCACATTTGTACAATTTTTCTCCCGTATGAATTCTCTGATGCATAGTAAGGCTTGAGGAACGAGTAAAAGATTTGCTACAAGTATTGCATTTGTAAAATCTTTCTCCAGTATGAGTTTTCTGATGTTGAATAAGGTGTGAAATATGGTTACAGGCTTTGCCACATTCTTTACATTTGTAGAGTTTCTCTTCAGTATGGATTAAATCACCTTCTTTTAGATTTGATGATTGACTAAATAATGTCTCACATTTACTGTATCTGTATGAATTTTCTCCAATATGGATTCCCAGATACTCAGTATGTTTTGAAGGCTGGGTATAAGCTTGTAACCCTTTATCATATTTGTAAGACTTCTCTTCAATATGGACACACTGATGGACAATAAGCTTTGAGTATTGAAAAAAGACTTTCTTACATTTTTTACAATTGTAATCCTTCTCTGGAAAATGAGTTTTCTGATGTTTTCTAGAACCAGAGACTTCTTTGGTTTTCTCAGATTGATGGCACTGATTATTTCTGTCTTCAATATAAATATCTTGGTAATCATTTAGGGTAGGGTTCTGGCTAGAGGACATCACAGTTTTATTATAAGTGTGACATTTTCCCAAGTTATCTATTTCCTCATATTGATTAAGCAATGATGAGTGGGTGAAGACTTTCTCATGCTGATCAACATTATTGATTTTGGTAGATGAAGGCATTATGTTTTGGTGGAAGAATAGTAAACTTTCAACAATGGACTGATCACATTGATCATGTTTAGAAATCTTCCCTTCATTTTTAAATCTCAGCTCTCCAGACATATGTGACTGAACATTCAATCCAATTCTATACGTTACTTGGTCCAAATCATTACTTGGAATATGGACCAAGTCCCTATTTAGATTTTCCAAATGTCCTTTCAGATGAATGTTACGTTCCAAAACTTGATCTTGATATTTACTTACAGAAACATATGGCTCAGCAAAAGTAACGGACATAAATGGAGTTTTGTTCCAAAATGTTTTGTGTTCTTGACCTCCAATATCCATGACATTTGTGTCATAGGTAGTTGTCCTACATTTTTTCTGTCCATCAACACATCCATTCTGCCCTTCACATTCACTCACACTTCCCCAGTATTTCTTTATATGGAAATTTTCCAGACCACACCTCGCAAATCTTCCCAATGTCACTTTTTGGAATGGAGCTTCTATGTACTTCTTTGTCCATAGGCCTTGGGTCAAATGAGAAAATGTATCTGAAAGATAATAAACACATTAAAAATTACATTTACTATGGGCTAAACAAATAAAATACATAAAACTATACAAGCTGAGGACCTCAGCATGATGACTGAATCAAACACGTGAGGCCTTTGTTTCTCCATGGATGTG